GTGAAAAAGAGAATAAGCAAAAAAGTATGGAAAGCCAAAACAGATTGTTTAAGAGTTACACCTCTAAATGCAACATTTGAGAGTAAATGTACTTTATCGCAGTATTTTTTTAATTTTTGGCAATAAAAAGTTACTTGCAGTGCAGCGAGTCGCAGACCAGGCCAACCTTGTTCTGCCACAGAAAAAGACATCGCTGGGCTCGAATCAAGCCGCTTGCTCCCCATTCTGCTCCCCGCTCTCCCCACTTCCCACCGCCCACTCCCATTGCTCATTTTTAATGTGCAATTCCGTATGTACAGCTCGTAGCCATGGCCACCATTCCACTCGTAGTGTGTGTGTTTGCATAGCAGCTTGGTCGCTGGTTAGGCATGTGCCACCTCCAGCTGCAAGCTCCGATCCCCCGGTGCCCAACTGCCCACCTCGGCAGCAACTTCAGCTGGAAACCCCAGATCGCAGCCTAGCCTTATAGCCAAACGAGTGCAGCTCCGTTTATCGGCCGGTACAACCTTGTTAGGATTGTAAAATGTAAACCGAAGGCGTTGCCGCGCGGACTCAGTACTCAGCTCGGACACTGAGAAAAAATATTTAACTATGGGTAAGGTGTCCAGGTGGGTTTAAAAAATACTAAAACGAATATTCAAAAACAAATCATTATTGTAAGTGTCCCCAAAATCTCGATCCAATAATTAAATGCAGCTCGAAAAGATTATTAGAATCATTAATACAACTTGTTTTTATTTATTTATCATTAAAAGTTGCAAACACTGGTTTCACCAATTTTAATCGTCAAGTTTAAAAATAAATCATACGATTTGTAATTGAAAAATGTATTTAATTCGGTTTATTTATGTGCAGCCTAGCTCAAGCTCCCCGAGTGATCGGCTGGCCAACCAACTGCATTTCGCTCGGCTGGCACACGCTCAAAGTGCCTCCATCCGCGTCCTCGTCTTCGTCCTCATCCGCGGTCATCGTTAATCGAAAACGGGCTGCGCCGTCGCCCTGCGGTTACGAGTGTCGCCAGGCCAAAACGAACCGCAGATTGCAGCGGAGGATGCAAAAGGGAGTGGTGCACGAAGAGGGGGAGCCACGAAGGGGCCTCCAAGCCTGGCCAACAACTGTGCGCGTGCGCAGAGCCGCCAACCTGGCAATGTGTTCATTTCGAGCCCATATTTCGTTTGGTCGGGCAGAAATTATGCCCGGTAGTCATGCAGCTCCAGCAACTCATGCAGCTATGCACTGTAAAATATTTTTAAATATATTTTTTGACTGAATTTGAATCAAAAATACCAATACATCCTAATACTTACGAGGAACTATCAGTGTAAATTTCAGGAACAAGTTAACAAAAGAGATTAAAAATTCGATTTGAATCGATGAATATCTGTTTTAATAATGAATCCTTTTTTCCTGTTTTGCAATTCGCTAGTGGAGCGAAATTAAAGCGAGTATTTGACTGACGGACTGACGCAGTCTCTCTGGTCAAAGTGAGTGACTAGTTGACTGCCAGACACGCGGCTTGATTGCACGCCTTGTCCACGTCTGCGTCCAGACTCACGTCCACATTCCCGTCCACGTCCACAACCCCACTCGCCTCAAATGTCCGCGGAAATGGGAATCTGGAATGGGCTGGGACCAGGCTAAAGGCATCGGCGGAATGGCCACTAAGCACCGAGTACTGGGCTTAGAAACGAAGGCAAATCAAAGTCAACCCAACGGACCGACACCCAACCGAGACGCAGCGGTCACACATTCGTCATGGAGGCTGCAAAGCCACAGTTGCAGTCAAAATAATAGCAACTACAAAAAAGTAAAATATTTTAATCTAAAATGTACAATATTGACATTAAAATATACGTAATTAGCAAACTATTTATCTCTACATATAATATTATTAAAAAACATTTATCACATTTTACTAGTACCAGATTTTTTAAAAAGAACCAATAAAAGGAATTAAGTATTTATTTACCAGAAGTGCTATTATTTTGTCCCCCACTGTTCTTGCATCTCCATCCGTGTAAACATGCACAATTCGCATTCGATTTTGATGCGTATTGATGGCTGCTCGACCAGCATGACTGACGCTAAGCAGCTCCGAGATTAATGGTTCCGAATTAGTCAGTGTCACTTATTGGAACGTTGAGCTCTCTCCCTCTGTCCCTCTTTCTCTGGCACTCTGAAAGGTAACACATGGGGGAAAAACGAGGAAAATGGAAAGAAAAAGGGGAAGTCCACGGCATTAGAAGCAGCTTAAGCGGACTCATTAGACCAACCGCTGAAGTCAAAATAAAAGTCAATTACAAATCAACACAATGAGTTTGTTCAATTGAAGGCAACGGATCATTGGGGAAGAAAAGCCCGAAAACAGAGAGAAAAATAAAAATTAATTTCAACATTGTGTTTACAATATCATCGATCAATAACTGTCAACACAGCGGTACAATATTTTGAGGCTAAAGTGCCCTAAGTTGGGGTATATCCAGTGGATTGAAAGGTGTGTTAATAGTTGGGAGGGAAATTAATTTAAAAAAATATATATACAGATGTAGTAATACATAAAATTTATAGAAAATTTTAAAATTGAGAAAGACTAAAGAAGTTTTGAATGAAGTCTAGGTAAACTTATGTAGAATCCTAAGAAAGGGCACAACGATTTCGATTACTCCCTTCCTTTTTTTTTGCTGCACCCATAATGTAATACAAATTACATTCCTTGTATTTATTTCTTTACCGATTCTTGGTGATTTTCGATTTAAGATTGCGGGCGATGAGAGTGGAGATGGGAGAAGCTGGAGACCACCTGGCGTCTGCAGACCCCGCTAATTGCATTGTGGGTACGCGGGGCACAAAGGAAAGTTGCCAGGTGATGATATCAGCATGATCAAGCACTTAAATAAGTACAAATGACGGCCCCCTTTTGAACATGGCTCCTGCCCCCGGCCCTCAGTTACTTGTGGATAGTAGGGAAAAGTTTACAATTTGTTGATTCAACGCGGCATGAAATCGGCTTGGAACTTTGTACAACTTTAATTAACCGATTTCTGCCGGCCCACGAAAGGGATGGGGGTAAAAGTCATAGAAATAAGTTAAATTACACTTAAGCCGATTAAAGTTCAGCTCGGTTTCGGCAAAGCGATTCGATTTGTCTCGTTTGGAAGGGCTAAGACCGCCGATTGCCGCTCGATCGCTCGGCGTCAGATGGTTCCACTCACAAAGTTCATTAAAAGTGACCAAGTTAATGCGCTGGGCAAACAGACATAAAACTGGAAACCCAGATACCGAAACTCAAGACCTGAACTCGTTCCATGCATACTTGAGCGATGATTTTTCCCAAAACCTTATTTTCAATTTACCAAAACAATTAACAACAAATTTTATTGGCTTTTAAGTTGAGCAAACACACTCGAAACAGTGAGCGCATCGTAAAACCGAGAATACTATACTATGTGTATCTCACAGAGTGCCGCTATTGATCCAGTGTTTGTCCAGCCCGAAGATTTGTTTGCCTTTCTGTTCTATTGAAGGTACGTGTGTATCTTTTAATTAACAGATCGGAACTGGGAACCATAAAACCGATGTAACCCAATCCGCTCTACCTATTTGATTTGTTTGATTGGCAAATCGCATGGAGAATGCGATTCTGGCCCACAAACTCCACAGCTTCATCGGTAAATCTTCGGATGGGCAAAGTAGGTGCCAGCTAGCATGTTGTTTTGCATGTCGAGGATGGGAGCTCCCATCCTTTTCTCTCCTTTCCATTCCTCCAGGCCGCTCCACGTGAGTCGGAATCGGAGTGGAGGCCTAGCCACTGCCACAATGTGCCATAAATTTATGACACTACTAAAAATAGTGGTGGTAAATGGTAGTCATGGAGTGCCGAGTCTGGAGTATCTGGCCATCTTCGTGCTCTTATGGCGGCTGTTACATTACGAGTATGTTGCCTTTGTTTCCACTGCGCATTACATGGCCAAACGTGGCGAATAATATGCAAGTGAAAATGCCATTTAAAAGCAGATAAATAAACTTAATGCGAACCAACGCCGCGGGAAGGGCTGAAAAGTGTCATTGCCGAGAATATTTATGTTGACTGCGGAGGGAGAGTGAAGGCAAGGAATATCCTGTGGCGCAGTTGGAAGGAGCCACTTGAGGAGCCCTCCACCGACGCCAATCCCTCACCCACATCACAGTCGACTTGGCCAAGTCTATCATTAGGCCCAGCTGAGAACCGTTAAGCCAGTTCTACAGGCCATCATCTCCTACCTGCGACCCCAGCAAATTGGCCCTTGCGTGCCATAAAATAGCGTCTGGCCAGCAGATATTCTCCTCTTTAACCTAAATGCTGCGTTTGCGATGCGCAAAGGAAGCTATAAATAACAATTAATTGTATTATTAAACTAATTCGAAGACGCAGCTCTTCGAGGACGAAAGGCCGTCAGTCATGCGATCTCGAAGCTGCCACATAAATTTTTGGTAGCCCCGCTTTTTAGCGAACTCGCCCGGCTAATTTACATTTCGCTGGTGGCTGGGGCAAAAGTAAAAGTACTCGAGACATCGAACGTCGTTTCTAAAAAATTGTGCCCCACGGCCAGAAGAGCCGGGACCCGGGCGCAGTTTTTGGAGCCAAGCATCCCGGGCCCAATCAATTATGGAATCAGTCAATGATCAGCAAGGAGCTCCCAACTGCCGACTGTCGACTGTCGACTGTCGACTGTCGACTGCCGCCTGCACGCAAAGGAAAAGGAAAAGGCAAATTCAAAGGAAAAGGCCCAAAGGAGTCGATGGTCCCTCGATGACCAAGACCCATCGACCATCGAGTGATGGCGCGAAAGTCGCAAAAAACCTGCACATAATGACAACAATTAACGCCCAAACTGTTGGGTCATTTATTTTGGTGCAAAACATATGGGGGGAATGGAAAGAGCAGGGAAAAAACAACGCATTATCGGTTTTGCATACTGTCATCTTAAGTTTTTTTACACACAAAACAAAGTTTGTACATATATGGTATATCTGATTGTAATATTTCCATTTTATTCAATTCACCAAGAACATTTTATGAAAGCAGCGCTTTAATGCTCTTCTCAATAAAGGGTTTAACATATTTCACATCCGTATAGACACCCGGATAGCGTTCGCTGGCGCAACCGATTCCAAAGGACACGATGCCGCAGACTTCTTTTCCATAGACCAAAGGACCTCCGGAATCGTAGGTGCAGGCATCCTTCTTTCCCAAAACTGAGGCGCAGAACATGCTGTTTGTTATTTCGGCTGCAGAAGAAATATTAGTTATTAACATAAGTTATTATGCATATTAGTTACTATGCATATTAGAATTAAGTTTCTTTGATATGGCTATGGTATTTTCACAAATCTTAAAGATATAAATTAAGGATTGCAATAATCTTTTGTATCAGCTATGTATGGTCGAAATTCACTCACTTGAATTTTTATAGATCTCGCGGCAGTGGATCTTGTTAACCACCGGCACTCTGACCGTGCGGAGCATCTGTTGCGGACCTTCCTCATCCACATCAGTCATGCCCCAGCCGGCAACCGCGAGGATTTTGCCAGGAGTCAAGGCTGTGGTACACAGTTTAAGCATACCGATGTTTTTGCCCACCATGGGATTTTCCAGCAGCATCACGGCCACGTCCATGTTCATGGTTTCCATCCGAAATGCACCGGACTTTATGATCGCCTTCACCCGACGACGCACTCCACGCTCGCTGAGCCTCGTGATTCCGCCATCCACTCTCCATCCTTCCTTGATGTCCCGGTTCTCGAAACAGTGGGCGGCCGACAGGACGATGACATCCCGGATCAATGTGCCGCCGCAAATAAAGAGGTCGAAGTAGCGCAATGCCACCAAGTATCCTCCCAATTTCTCGATTGTCGTCAAATCGCCACCAATTACGCGAGTTTGGTGTGCGGGACGCTTTACGATCTTGGCCAATTTTGACAGGTCGATGGTCTCATTGGTTTCTTGGGCGTGGACATCAAGCCAACACAAAGTTCCGACTAGCAAAGTGTAGAACAGAAGACGTTGCATTGCTGTTAGAGAATGGCTCCTAAGTTGATCTTAAAGGGTATCTAAAATTAACCGTATAAAATGTGTTTAAGCGAAGCCAATGCCTTTGATATTATACTTTTATTGGGATTTATTCAAAACGTCAATATCAACATCTGAATTCTCTTCCAATTCAACTAAAGTTCAACTTCTAAACGCACAAATAAGAACCCTTGAATATCCTTTGTGAATATTAAAAATAATAGCGACAAATTCTTAGTTTTTATACCCTTACAGAGGGCAGTCAGAAGCTTGCAACGCAGCGGAGGAGTCTCCTCAGACCCCATAAAGTATATATACATATATTCTTGATCAGCATCACGATCTGAATGAGCCATGGCAAAAATCCAAAAAGTGGTTTTTTAGAAAATGGCCTAAAAACAGCACTGGAAAACCCATAACATTTCTTAATGGATTCCGATTTTGGTTTTGTGTACCTCAAAATGCTTGTGACATAGAGTAGACATGATGACTGCTTCGGCTCGTCAAAGTTAGCTTCCTTTCTTCCTTTTAAACGAAATCGGACACATAAAACTATAATATTTAATTTTATTTTCTTTGGTTTTGTCTTTTGAGAGCTGTCAAGCACACGGTCTTTATAATGTAACAAAATATATACACATTTTAATAATCATTGGTTTCCAAAATGTGTTTTAAGCCGCGCCTTTTTTGTTTTTTGAAATTACCTGAAGTGCTTACGCTAAGCTGTCAAACACACGGTCTTCATAATGTAAACCAAATATATATTTTCAAAATTATTGGTTTCCGAGATGTGTTTCAAGCCGCGCCTTGGCCTAAAAAGACTAACCAAGCAGGTGCACAAGTGGATAGGTCGTCGGGAATATGGTTCTATAAGTAAGGCCTCAGGTATGGTCAAATATCACGAGCAGCCAGATAAGTCCGAAGGAGACCCCAAGCTGTATCGGACCTTGAGTTTATCAAATGGACTTCGGGCCATGCTCATATCCGATCCTTATATTGACAACCAAGTTTCCAGCGAGAGTTTGGGTTCTTCAGCGGAATCGTTTCATGGTAAATTGGCAGCCTGTGCAGTTCTCGTTGATGTTGGATCATTCAGTGAGCCGCGAGAATATCAGGGTCTAGCCCATTTTGTGGAGCACATGATGTTTATGGGATCCGAGAAGTTTCCTGTTGAGAATGAATTTGACTCGTTTGTTACTAAAAGCGGAGGCTTCAGTAATGCGCATACTGAGAACGAGGAGACGTGTTTCTACTTTGAAGTGGACGAATCTCATCTCGATAAGAGTATGGATATTTTTATGAATTTGATAAAGGCTCCCCTGATGCTGTCGGACTCCATGAATCGCGAACGCTCGGCCGTTCAGTCGGAATTCGAGCAGACTTTTATGAGCGATGATGTACGCAGAGATCAGATTTTGGCAAGCTTAGCAAGTGACGATTATCCACATGGCACTTTTAGCTGGGGTAACCTGAAGTCTCTTCAGGAGGGCGTTGATGACACCCAACTGCATCAGGCCCTTCACCTGTTCCGTCGCAACCATTACGGAGCCAATAGAATGATAGTGGCCATTCAGGCTCAGCTTTCCCTGGATGAACTTGAGGAATTGCTAGTCCGACATTGTGCGGATATTCCCAAAAGTCAGGAGAATGCAAGAGACTTGTCCAAGTTTAACTACCAAACAGCCTTTCGAGAGGAGTTCTTCAGAGATCTCTTCTTAGTTCAGCCAGTTGAAGATGTCTGCAAAGTTGAGTTCACTTGGGTCTTACCACCAATGAAGAAATTTTACCGCTGTAAGCCGGATTCCTTTCTGGCACAACTTATGGGTTATGAGGGAGTTGGCAGTCTGTGCTCTTATTTACGTCGACGTCTTTGGTGTATCAGCGTTATGGCTGGAGTTTCCGGAAGTAGTTTTGACTCAAACTCAATTTACTCTCTATTCACCATCTGCATATATCTTACTGACGATGGCTTCGATCACTTGGACAATGTCATGGAGGCCACATTTGCGTGGATTAGGCTTCTCATCAACAGTGATCGGCTGCCAACTTCCTATAGGGAATTTCAACAAATAGCGAACAATAATTTTCGGTTTCAAATCGAAATACCCTCCATTGACAATGTTCAAAGCATTGTTGAGAACCTCAATTACCTGCCATTCAAAGATGCCCTTACAGGACCGCAGATATATTTTCAATACGTTGAATCCGATATTCAGCTTTTAAGAGAGCAATTGAGTAAATTTAATTTTAACATCATGATCTCGTCCTATATACCATACGAACAGAATGAGTACGATCAGAAGGAACCATGGTTTGGAGCCCAATACAAGACCATTGCCATGCCACCAAAATGGATCAAATTGTGGCAGGAGCCAACTACTTTCAAGGAGCTACATTTCCCGGATCCCAATCCATTTGTGACCACTGACTTCACACTTCATTGGATCGAGGCGGGTAAGCCACATATTTCGAGAAGTCCGAAAGTTCTACTTAGAAATGATTTATGCGAGCTGTGGTTTCGGCAGGACAATGTCTTTCAACTTCCCAACGGGTATATCAACCTATACTTTATTACTCCTCTAGTTCGGGAAAGTGTCAAGCATTATATGCTCGGTGTTCTCTATACCTACTTGGTTGAATTTGCCATGGCTGAAGAGTTGTATCCCGCTTTGGAAGCAGGTTTGACTTATGGTCTTTATATCGGCGATAAAGGATTGGTCATGCGGGTCAGTGGCTACAATGAGAAACTTCCTCTTTTGGTGGAAATAATTCTGAACGTAATGCAAGCCGTAGATCTGGATGTGAATCAAGTAGCTTCATTTAAGGATCTCAAAAAGCGTCAAATATACAATGGTTTAATTAATGGCAGAACCCTGAATCTTGATTTGCGCCTTAGCGTGTTGGAAAATCAGCGTTTCACCATGATATCCAAATATGAGGCCATTGATGCTATTACAGTAGAAGACATAAAAAGCTTTAAAGATAATTTTCATAAGAAAATGTATGTTAAATGTCTGATACAAGGGAACTTCACTGAAGAGCAAGCCACAGAGCTAATGCAAAAAGTTCTTGACACTTACAACAGTGAAAAGATTGAAAACTTATCAGCTTTGGATAATAACATAGTGCAGTTGCCTCTAGGATCTTATTATTTGAGGGCAATGACTCTGAACGAGGATGATTCAAATACAATTATAACAAACTACTATCAGATAGGACCAAACGATCTGAAAGTGGAATGTTTGATGGATTTGGTAGAGTTGATCGTGGAGGAACCATTGTTCAATCAATTGCGGACTCAAGAACAGTTGGGCTATAGCCTTGGAATAAGTCAGAGAATCGGTTATGGTGTAATTGCTTTTTTAATCTTCATCGTCACTCAAGAGACCAAGCACAAAGCTGATTTCGTAGAGCAACGTATCGAAGCCTTCAGATCTCGAATGTCGGAACTTGTATCACAAATGAGCGAAGAAGATTTCAATGATATTCGAGAAATTCTGATTAGTTCTAAAAAATTGGGAGACACCAGCTTGGATGAAGAGGTCATGCGGAATTGGAGTGAAATTGTCACCATGGAGTATTTCTTCAATCGCATGGAGATGCAAATACAAACCCTGAACAGGTTAACAAAGGACGACGTTTTGAATTTCCTAAAGGACTACGACAAAAATAATTTAAGGAAACTTTCCGTGCAAGTTGTGGGAAATCAATTGTTGCCTTCAGATTCAAAATCCACAGATAACTTAGAATACGAAAGTCGCCCTGGATCTTTGTCAGATTTATTAGATGATGAGCAAAACATTTCCAATCATCAGATTTCAAATAAACCAATAGCCGAGAAGATCAAGATTGAGTTTTTAGGAAAAAGCGATGACCCCTCAAATATTAGGGACATTTCGGCCTTTAAAAAATCCCTCTATGTCTATCCGTTGTTCAACACAAATCCAAACCTTGCTAATAAATCTTAAAAATTATACAAAGTCTTAGACATAAATTTGTAGGCTAGAAACTTTCAAAAAAGTTCCAGAAACAAGGTCCTTGTTGCACAAAGATATTTTTCCTACATCCTTGCCCCTCAGGGGAGACTCAAGCAGTATCACTACCACGTCCAGGTGCAAGTCGTCCTTCCGGAACTTTTTTGACATCATGAAAATTGTACAATTAACTGGTAGCAAATATATTTAACCGTAAAGAAACCTTATAATGCGAGACAAATTCAGTTATTAATAAATGGTAATAGTTTATTTTCTCTACATGATTCAAAGAATTTGTTTAAAGATTTGCAAGCAACTCCTTCATGGACTTTTCGATAAAGGGCTTCACGTAATTAATGTCCGTATAGACGCCAGGATAACGTACGCTGGCACATCCGATTCCAAAGGATACGATGCCGCAGACCTGCTTTTTGTAAACCAACGGACCTCCGGAGTCGAAAGTACAGGCATCTTTTTTCCCCAACGATCCGGCGCAAAGCATGCTGTCTGTTAGTATCACTACGCAGAAAGAAAAATATTAATATTTCAATTAAAATGGACATACTATAAAAATAAAACATTTGTCAAAATCGTGGAAATATGGTTTCTAAAATAAATGTGGTTTGATGTCAGTTGAATGAAACTTAGAAACTCTAATTTTAAATTTAAATTTTAAGAAAGAGACTTTAATAAACTCACAACTACTTGGGTGATAGGCAGTACGACACCTTTCCTTGTCTATAAACGGCACCACGGCGGAATGCAGCAAATTATTTGCACCACTGACGTTTACATTGGTCATGCCCCAGCCCGAAACCACCAACTCCAGTCCGGGCTTCAGGTTAGTGGAGCACAGAGACAGCTTTCCGATACCCTTGCCTCTCATGGGGCTTTTTAGCCGAACCAGTGCCACATCCATGTGCGTGTCATTTTCCCGAAACTCAGCGGATCTGAAGATATCCCTGAACTCACGTTCGATACCCACTTCACTCAGCTTGGAGATACCGCCAGCCGCTATCCATTCGTTGGTTTTCGGTCGGTTCCGGAAGCAATGTGCCGCAGTCAGGACAATAAGATCATGAAGAAGTGTTCCACCGCAGATGAATTTCTTTTCGTATCGCAAAGACATCAAGTAGCCACCAAGCTTTTCATTGGTGGTTACATAACCACCAATAACTCTTGGTTTAAGGACGGAGGGCAACACTAACTCGATCAACGTATCCACATCGATGGTAATGTTGGTATCCTGGCCATGGACGGGAATAGAATACAAAGCAGCAGTCAGCAAACAACAGATCAGAACCTTATGCATTGCATATACGAAATGTAACATAATAACTTGTAACAAAAACATTTAAATTGTTACAAATATATTTACCCGTAAAGAAACCTTATAATGCGAGACAAATTCAGTTATTAATAAATGGTAATAGTTTATTTTCTCTACATGATTCAAAGAATTTGTTTAAAGATTTGCAAGCAACTCCTTCATAGACTTTTCGATAAAGGGCTTCACGTAATTAATGTCCGTATAGACGCCAGGGTAACGTTCGCTGGCACATCCGAGTCCAAAGGATACGATGCCGCAGACCTGCTTTTTGTAAACCAACGGACCGCCGGAGTCGAAAGTGCATGCATCTTTTTTCCCCTTCAATCCGGCGCAAAACATGCTGTCTGTTAATGTCACTACGCAGAAGGAAAAATATTAATAGTTCAGTTAAAATGGGCATAATATAATAAAAACTTTTGTCATAATAGTGCACATATTGTTTTTAAAATGCAGGTGCTTTTACGTTCAAAAAGAAAGCTATTATACTTTGACATTTAACATTAAACTACGAGCAACGATTATTTTAAATGTAACCTTTAGGAAAGAGACTTTAGTAAACTCACCAGTAGGGTGATAGGCACTACGACATTTTCTCCTGTCTATAACCGGCACTACGGCTGTGTGCAGCAAATTATGTGCACCACTGGCGTTTTCATGGGTCATCCCCCAGCCCGAAACCACCAACTCAAGTCCGCGCTTCAGGGTGGTGGAGCACAGGGACAGCTTTCCGATACCCTTGCCTTTCATGGGGCTTTTTAGCCGAACCAGCGCCACATCCATGTGCATGGTATCTTCCCGAAACTCAGCGGATCTGACGATATCCCTGAACTCACGTTGGATACCCGCTTCACTTAGCTTGGAGGTTCCGCCGGCCGCTATCCATTCGTTCGTTTTTGGACGACCCAGGAAGCAATGTGCCGCAGTCAGGACAATAAGATCGTGAATAAGTGTTCCCCCGCAGACGAATTCCTTGAAATATCGCAAAGACATTAAGTAGCCGCCAAGCTTTTCATTTGTGGTTACATGACCACCAACGACTCGCGTTTGAAATACGGAAGGCAGTACTATCTTGGCCAGCTTATCCACATCGATGGTGGTATTAACTTTCTGGGCAAGGACATCTATTCTGAACAGAGTGGCGACCAACAAGCAAAAGGCCAGTAGGCGTTGCATTGCATATGAGGAGTGAAGAGCTCTATCCCAAGACAAAACGATTTTTAACCCGCATTCTACAGAATATAAAGCGTTGAGAACCCAATTAAGCAAAGCAAATTCAACTGTTTGGCAATTGGGTTTAATTGCTGTTAATTTGAAAGTTTACGCTATGGTCTGTGCTCTTTTTGTTTGACAGTTGTTGATTAAGCAGCGTCCGCGGATCTAGGAGAAGCTCAGAGGTCGGATCTCCTGAAGAAGCTGGCGGAGATAGTACATTTGTCTAGCATCCCGGTTGCGATCATCCGTGGCATACGGATACATGGAGTTGATTATCTGGTGCAGATCCGAGTACGTCTATAAGGCATTTAGAGATTTTAAAATACACTTTTACAGCAGCTGAAAGTTTTTACCCCAATGTTTCGCCAGGTATTTTTATAGGACAGCTTGATCACATCGAGGGCATCTGAGCAGAGTTCCGAGATCTCCACGAAGGTCGAAAACTCTGGAGTTACCCGAATTGTGACCTCCGATGTATCGTGCACATCCTTTATATTTCGCAGACAGAGAACGATATCCCGATCCGTGGCCAATCGATTCCATTGGCTGCGGCTGAACTTCATGAGCTTAATGTGCACAGCGATGGCGTCATACACGTGCAACTCCGCAGCCAAGTGCTTCTGGGAAAAGTAGCCCTGATCTATGTAGAAACTAGCGTCCAGCTCCGCAAACACATTCAGGTTCATGTCCTGAAGGCGCTGTAATAAAATCTAATATAAATTCTGTTAAAGGAATGCTCATTTTCAAACCTTGCGCAGCTCAACGAAGTCCGATACGGGCTCATTGATATCAATGTATTTATTGGGCCTGGCGATGTACTCCTTGGGTATATCGAATGCATGACAGCGGATGCCCTCTTTAGTGACAAAAAAGACTACACGCACATAATATGTGTCCAAGGTGAAGATGATCTCATCCTCACTGCAATAATTATTGTAAAAAATAAGAGAGTTTATCATACGATGATAGCTACTTACTTCTCCGCATTCTTCTCCAGCTCCCAGTTGCTAAAGGGAAAGTGGATGTATCGCGGGTATGCGAACCCAAAGTTCCCCAAGCGATCCGTTTTGATTGTAAGAACTCCGCTCTCTTTGTTAAACTCAGACTCGATTATAAACTTGGTGGTCCAGTGGAGAACCTTCTTGGTTTCAGGAGCTGGAGCTACAATGGTTGACGCTAACCGACTCTCTTTTCTTATCTTTCGTGGAGTTTCACTGGTTTCCGAATCATCTAGGTCAAAACTGTCACTAACGCCGACTTCCTCCAATCCCAATTGTCTGGTTGACCTCGAGTAAGTACTGGCTCTCGAGTAAGTACTAGCTCTGCCCGATCGTCTCGAAAAAGGATTGTCCTGGAAAACTCGTTTGCTCAACCTGACGTTCGGTACGGCTTGTTCAGCTATCCTTTTCGGAGCATCCAGGTACTTCTCCTTGATGTCCTCCAATTTCTCCAAAAAGCCATGCATCGAAGTGAGTTTCGCATCTTGCTTCCTTTCATCGTTCAGTTTTAGATAAGTCATCGAGGGAAACTTTGGGTATACTCGCTCGGGAAAAGACTGATCCTCGTAGCTAAAGAAGTAATCCCCAGCCTGGTCAGATACAACCGAGTCCGCGACTCGTCTTCTCAAAAGCTGAGTGCCCGGTGCCTTTTTGGTGGCCAGTGCCTCGAGATCGTCATCCTTGAACTCTTGGGGGAACTTAAACGAGGATATCAACCGCGGAAGGCAGTGCTGCTGGAGTTGCTGGATCCTCCATCTGGTTAGTGGTTCGCTCTCCAGCTCAAAGTCCTTCACTGTTTCGAGGCGGGTTCGTGCCTGGTCGAAAGTACTTTGCCGCACAACTGACAACGCCGATGGTCGATAAATATTGGACGCATTTTCCACTACCAATAAGGAATTCTTTGATTTAGCTATATCCACTGGACTTTCTATTGTCACAGTTACACTTTTGCCAGGAGTCGCTTTTTGAGCAACCAGTTCGCTTGCTTTTCGGTTCAAATTGCGCATCTTTTTTGATCTTCTCTCCACTCTTTCCTCAACGATTTCTATTTCTAACTCTGGTTCTGGGACTATCTCCTCCTCGACAAACTGACACACCAACGGCTCGCCCCACAGACACAAATGTTTCGGCACCTGAAAAGTTAGGAAATAGTAGGGCAACTCATCCGGTTCCAAGTGAAGGGGGACTTCAGAGCCCTCCTCCAGCTCGGGATCGCGCTTGAATTCTATAGGATCGGACAACTTCGATTCATCCAGGACATCTATTTGCCTACGCAAAACTCGACCATCTTCGTGAAGGGTTATATTGAACTTCTCGAAGGCGGTATGTTTGGCTCTTCGCACAAAGAACAGGGAGATAACACCACCCATGATTATAAATCGACGAAGGTTTACCTAAAAATATTTCAATAAGTAATCAAAAGAACAATATTAAAGAGATTTTAAGGAATAACCTCAAAGGGTAGCAATTCAATATTGTCCGGATGGAAGTGTTCCCTAAAAAATTCCATGCATTCCCGATCTTCATTTTTAAGAAATATCTTGTAAGGATCGGGAAGCATCCCATCTGGTAATTCCTGCGGCATTTTAGGTGGTTTCATAGTGACTTTCTTTTTCGCTCCTTTATTTTCCGGGTCCTTTTTCTTTTGTGCTTCTAATTGGGCAATCGCTCTTAAGAAAAATCAATAGGAAACAATCTAAAAACTTCATAAAGTATACATACTCCATGGCTTGATTGTACTTCTCCATCTGTGCGTTCATTTGCATCATTAACTCCTCTTGTATATCACTCTGTGCTATCCATTCGGACAACACACTGTCCATAATATCCGTTAAACCACAACTGGGGCTAGTGGCACTATCGATGGTCAGATCGAAGCCCTTGGTCAATTGTGAATAGGGATCGAAAAGGGTGTGCACACACCTCAGGGTCAAATTGTCGCAAAGAACACTAAGTGGTAGTTGAAGGGTCATACCAACGCAGTCCAGATTGGTGCTCATTACTGGTAGCCTTAAAATAGTTATAGAATTCATGAGAAGATCAGATTATTATTGTGAGAAAGCCACCTACTTCATGTAGTTGAATCGAATTGGCACGTCCTGCAGTCCCCATATTTGCAGGTTAAAGTTTGCGCAGTTGTAGCAGTAGTGGGAAAAAATACTGTCCTTGTTTCTATAAAATAAATATTAAATAAAGATGGTTAAACTTGTATTAAACTACACCTTACATCATAAAAGCTTCAGGCGTACAGATTACACGGTAAGTGAACCTATCAAAAAACTTTTCAATCTCAGCGTACAGTTCAGAAGGTATCTATATGAATAAATAAAATTATATCATATAAATTGAGCAATAATAAGTACGAGTATTCATTAAAACTTACCAGGTACAATTCAATGATCTGCAAGTTTGATATCCGAAGCAGTTCAGTATTATTTCGAAGTACCCTATCCACTCTTCTAAGTGTTTCCAGGAAACTCATTATATTATCATCATAGAGTTTTCCAATATTTGGCCTTGTTTTCTCCAAGTTTCTCCAGGTTATATCCTTTCGACCAGGTGCGTGTGACAAAATACTGCGCTCGTCCACCAGCAACACCCAGCTGATATCATTTTTGCAGGCCTCCTGCTCTAAATATCTCAGCTGATAGATGAATTTCCTGATGTCGGCGGCATTATTTGGTTTCGGAAGACCATCGCAGGCTAGATAATTATTCCACTTGTCGTCCTGCAACTGCCTCGTCTGCAGCTCCTTATACTCCTCAATGGCCTCTAAGATTGGTAATTTCTATAGCCTGTTATTATTTTGTTTATGTTCCCAATGCTTATCCTTTACCTTCAATAAAGCCTACACTTATCTTGACATCCGCCAAACGCTGCATGTATGTATTTTTTCGGGCCAACCACTCTTCCTCCGAAATTAGATCCACTTTGGGTTTGGTGTCCAGGTCCTTACTCTTCCTTTTTACCATTTTTTTTATATTTTTTTGTTTTTTAGTGTTTTTTAGTGTTTTTTTGTTTGGCTTTTATGTAAAAGTGTTTTGTGTGTGTACTTGTGTCAGTTTTTAAGTTGATGTGATAGCAAAAGGCATTTTGTCAAAATCGCTGGATACGAATTTATGTAAAATTTATGCAGGAATACGAGGTCCTAGGAGAAACTCAAAGGGCGAATCTCGTTCAAAAGCCGCCTAATGTAGACAAAGAGCGTTGCGTCTTTATTCGAACCCTCTTGGGAATGTGGATTCATTGAAGAGATGGCCTGCCCAAGATCATGATAGTTCTGCGATTTACAACGGAGGTAATATTATAGTAAATTCAGAATAATAATAACCCACATTGACGTTCCTCCAAGTTTCCTCGTAACGAAGGTTTACCACATTTATATTATCCGAACACATCTCGAAAACCTTGACAAACGTCGTCTTCTCGGGTGTAATTCGCATAGTGACTTCGGTGTAATCAGATCTATCATTGGCGAACTTCATGTCCATAATAATAGTTCGACGATTGGCCAGCCGATTCCAACCGGATCGATAGAACTTCATTAGCTTGCATTGCAATGCCATCGTGTTGTAGGTGTGCAGTTCGGTGGCCACATGTTTTATAGAAAAGTACCCATTTGTAATATAGTAAGAGGCATCGTTCTCTGCAAAAATATTCAGATTCTTTTTCACGAGTAACTGTGAGGGGAGATGTCATAAGATTTGTTTGGATAGCAATACGAGTACAACCATACCTTTCGCAGTTCCCGAAAGTCGGATATGGGTTCCACAATCTCGAGATACTTTACTGGATTCGCCGTGTAAGCCTTGCTCAAATCGGTCACATAACCCCTTACTCCTTTAGAACTGATGTAGAAAATCATTCGCACATGGTGGGTTTCCAAATTGAGAATGATCTCATCGGGACTGCAAAGAAGTGGCTTATAAAAGCTCCTTTAATTAGATACCACTTACTTTTCCTCATTTGGCTGCAAAAACCAATCACGAAAGGGGAAATGCTCGTACCGCTTGAAGGCCAATCCGAACCTGCCCAACCGATCGGTTCTGAAGGTTAGTGTGTTGGTCTGGAGATCCAACGTTGATTCAATAATATGATCTTTTGTCCAGTGATTTAGCATTACTGGAGGTTCCTTTTCGTCGTTTTCAGTTTTCAAGTGCCGTTCCTCCAATTTGCTGCTCTTTCTCTTTGTTTTACTTTGTCGCTTCATAGAACTCCTCAGTGGCTTTTCGAAAGCAGTTTTGTCAAAACTTGTTCGAAGATCTGAAAAAGAATAATAACTTTCTCTGGCGTCCGACCTTTCCACTGGGTTTTCCACCTTTTTTTCGGGCTTTTTGGACGAAGGCTCTGGACCGACTTGGTCAATCACTTTAAACGGCCTTTCCAAATATTGTGTCTTGATATCCTCCAATGTTGACAATAATCCATATGCGGTTGTTGTTGTTGTTGTTGTTGTTGTTGTTATTGTTGTTGTTGTTTTTGTATCATCAGCAGAATCAATGTTGGTCGAATCAGTTTCCGGAATTCGGAATTCTGCAGGAGCTAAAATCTCGAAGACGGGGAAAACCCTTTCTGGCCGTTGCTGCTTACTATAATCGAAGGGTTCCGCTTCTCTACTAACTTCCTCCACCAACTCGGTTTCTTGCCTTTTCTTTAAACGACTTGGCTTTGACTTTTGGGCCTCTTTTTGTTCAATAAACTCGATGGGAAAATTAAATGAAGAAATTATGCGAGGCAGGCAGAGTTTCTTTAAGTTATTCATCTGCACCTTCTTCAAGATTTTGTCTAAACGGAAATCCTTCAGAGAAGTAACTTTCGCCGTGTCCTGATCAAGGATATTACTTTGCTTGAGGACTGATTTAACACATGAATGAAACTGATTGTTAAAGGTGGATCGGCGTATGCTCTCTTCATGATGGTTCAATGTGGTTGATATTCGATTGAGATCAATGTTGAGCGTTATCATGGTACCTCTCTCCGGAGATTGAGGTGCTAACTCGAGCTCCTCCAGGTAATGACACACTTGAGGTGTTCCCCACCTGCAGAGTTCCGGAGGCAACTTTACGGTAACGATGAAATATGGCAAGTCAGCATCATCCAACTTCAACTGAGTGTCACTTATTGTCATTCTGGTGAAATCGGAAACTTTGGAGGTTCTTTCGCCTTGTGCCACCACACCATCTATTACGTGCAAAATTCGACCATCCTCGTGCAAGATAATGTTGAAGTTCTCGAACTGTGTTTGATCTGGTCGCCGCACGAAGGAAATATTGTAGACGCCACCAATGATGATACACTCTCTGAGATTTATCTAATCAATCAAATCAATAGAATCAAATAATAGAATTTTAGATATAAGCCAAAAATAAGTAAATGAACTAAAATAAATTCCATGAACTCACCTCACCGGGCGACATATTTAAATGATCTGGATGAAAGAAGCTTTGCACAAAAATATTGTATTGGTTGTCCTCGCGGAAAAGAAACTCATCATATATATCGGGATACATTCCTTGCGGAACAAGGGGCACCATCTTAGGGGTCTTCGGGATGACCACCTTGGTTCGCTTGCCTTCCTCCTTGGACTTTGCCTCCTTGGCAGCCTGCTCAGTCCGCTCGGCAATGAGCTGCATTAGCTCCTCATATTCTGCTCGCTTCCGGTGCATTGAGTCTAATATTTCCTCCTGAATGTCCTGCTGCATCAGCCACTCGCCAACCACCGACTCTTCCATGTCTTTGGTCCCAGCAAAAGGAACGAGATTACCTTCAACTGGAAAGGTTTCGTAGCTCTTGGCGTTCTCCGAAAAATGGTCAAAGCTTGTGTGAACGCACCGAAGGGTGAGGCAATCCGTCAGGACACTCAGGGGTATCTGAACCTGGACACCCGTGGCACTGAAATCAGCCAGCATAATTGGAACACTGTAAAAATAACCATTTAAAAACCATCATTCCCATTTAAACCTTTTAGGGGAATCTCACTCCAACTGTTCGAATATTATGGGAACATTGTAAAGACCCCAAAGATCCATGCTCCAAAAATCAGAGGAATGACTCCACGTACCCACTATACCATTTACGGAACTAAAAAGGGAATTAATTCAAATTTGTATAATAAAACAGTCAAATAAAAGCTCCTACTTCATATAAGCCTTCTGCATTCGCAATATCCGATAGGTAAGACGATCAATGAGGCTTTGGATCTCTTTTTGGATATCACCGGTAACCTTTGGAACAAACCCTGTATTATTTACTCTATAGTTTAGATATACATACCTCCATGATATCAATCTGAACACTCTTGGCTATGCGCTCCAGTTCGATCTCATTGTCCATTAGGGCATCCACCTGCCTTAAAACCTCCAGACAATTATTTACATTTTTCTCGAAATAGGAACCCGGATCATCGACGATTTGCTTTTGTAATGTGGAACGCGTCATGTCCTTGTGGTAAATATTTTGGGTAAGAATACTGCGATCGTTCACGGCCAAATTCCAGTCAATCGAATTAGAGCTCTCGATATCTTCGAAGTGACGGATTTTGGCCAAAAATGTTCGTATATCTTTTGGTGATCGGACCTTGGGCAAACCATCACATCGAGTGAAATGCTCCCAGCGATCAAGATTTGTCCTTTCCTCCTCCATGGTTCTAAACTGAGCGAGTGCACCTGAATTAAGAGCACTGATTAATACTTCTACCATTTCTAGGAAATCCATCTATAACAATACTTTTAAAGTTGGCACAGGCAGCAGAAATATCTTGAAATCGGACCGTGTACTTCTTTTGCCGCTCCATTATTTCGGATTCGTTTAACAGAGCCAAATGCGTTGTGCTACCCTCTCGCCTTTTTACCATTTTGCCAAAGATAATGGTGTTATAATCTCCTTGAAGAGGTTGGTATTTTCCTTATTTTTTTTTTTTTTTTGTCTGTATATTTATGTTGTGACGTGGTTGAGTAGATGTATACTTCTGTCAGTTAAAACTAGGATTGTGTAGGCAAAGACGTATTGATTTGCATGGTGAAAGTATAAACACACACGATATAAATGAAACCATCAGGCTATTTATATAAAATTTGATATTAATTTATTTATGGGAACAAGTCAATAGTGGTATTTACATTAACCCATGTTATTTAACTAAATCACCCAACTCTTATATCCGCTTAATTCATTAAAGACTTTTTATAATATATTGTATTTAAGAGTAGGAGATAGGGTATAAGTGTAAAAATATAAGGAATTCCTACGAAAAGCTCAAAAGCCTGATCTCCGTTAGCATTCGCGTTACGTAATATAGAAGGATGGAATCCTTATTGCGCATTTCAGTAGCATTGGGAACCATCGAACTTATGGCCTGATGCAGATCAGTGAATTGCTGCAATAAATCAACATGAATAAACCAAATCACAGAGCGAGTATAGACTTTAAAACGTACGGCAATGTTCCTCCAAGTTTCAGTATAGGTGAGCACTATCACATTTACTTTGTCCGAACAATTCTCTGAAATCTGGACGAAGGTCGTCTTCTCGGGTGTAATTCGCACTGTAGTCTCGGAATAATCAGACTTATCGTTAGCGAACTTCATGCCCAGAATGATGTCACGACGAGAAGCTAAGCGATTCCAGCTGGACCGATAGAACTTCATCAGCTTGCAATGGAGAGCCATGATGTTGTACGTATGCTGTTCAACTGCCACGTGTTTCATGGAAAAGTATCCGTTTTCTATATAAAAACTAGCATCGTTTTCGGCAAATATATTTATGTTCTTGCTGACGAACATCTGTTGGAAATAATGGTGTTTTAGAGCTAAGATAAATGTCTTGTGAACTTACCTTCCGCATTTGTCGAAAATCGGATATGGGCTCCAAGATCTCCAGATACTTAACTGGCTTGGCGGTGTATCCTTTGCCCAAATCGGTTACATAACCCCTTACCCCTTTCGAAGTGATGTAGAAAAATATGCGCACATGGAAGGTGTCCACAGTTAATATGATCTCATCTGGACTGTACATGTGTTTATGGATTGAATATATAATTTGTATATTCCAATACTTGTACTTACTTTTCCTCATTTGGCTGCATTGACCAGTCGCGAAAGGGAAAGTGCTCGTACCTCTTGAAGGCCAATCCCAAGTAACCCAGACGATCCGTCTTGAAGGTGATTCTACCGGTATCCTTATCCAGCTCAGCGTCTTTTACGTATCGTGTGGTCCAGTGGATCACTTCCTGCGTACAAGTTTCGCTATTTGCTGAACCAGATTGATCGGATTTATTTGATTTGGCGCTGGGCCGTAGTTTCTCCTTGCTCTTTCGCGACTGCCTTGCCGAATGTGCCTCCTCACTTTCCTCTTTCTTTTTTGTCTTCGGTTTCTCCTCTTGCTGACTCAAGAGTTCCATGGGCTTTTCTTTATATTTGGCTTTGATATCGTCAAAGGTTTTCAACACTTGAAGTGCAGTTGAGTTAATGAGAGGAGTTGGTTCCTCATCATCCGACGGATAGTGCACGGCATCAACATTCGGAAAGTGGGGAAACATCCGTTCGGGGTTATCCAGCTGGGCGTTAAAATCGTAATTTAAAACCTTGACATTAGTGGGGGCATCTTCGACTTCTTTTTTTTGACCAACATCTTTGTGCCCGGCTTGGCCACCTCTCGCTTCTCATCACAAAATTCCGAGGGAAATTTGAACGACGAGATGATCCTGGGTAGGCAATGCTCCTCCAGGGTTCTGGCCTCAAGATGGTTTAGTTTTTTATCCAGCTTAAAATCCTCCAAAGGAACTTCCACCACCGGAGGTATATCCAGTTTACTTTGCCTGATCAACGAGCGCATAGTAGGTCGAAATATATTACCCGAGTCCATTGAAAATCGACTATTTCGGGAAATGCTGTCTCCTCGTTCGTTATAATCAGCGTACCTTATTGCACTCTGAATGGTCGGCAGCCAAACGGAATCGCGTTTGTGTTCGACTGGAACTTGGTCCTCCTCCGTCATGAATTGACAAACCACCGGTTCACTCCACTTGCAGAGGTCCTTGGGCAGTTGCAGGGTAACAATGAAGTACGGCAGTTCGTCGTTCTCCAGCTTGATCTTGGTTTCCCTGTACGACTCCCTGGTCATTTTGGAAATATTAGAGTTCCGTATGGCCTCCTTCTCCGTCTCTGCCACCTTTTCAGGCATGCTATGCAGCACTCGGCCATCCTCGTGCAACACAATGTTGAACTTCTCGAAGTGAGTTTGCTCGGGTCGCCGAATGAACATTATTGCGTAAATGCCACCGAGCATGATGCACTGCCTGAGATTTATCTAGGGTGATTACAGAATTGTATTACAATTATTGTTTATCTCAAGATATAAGCAAAAATATATAAACATATTATCAATATATTATTTTCTTATTAAATGAAAGAATTTGAATATGAAAGAATTAATATAATATATAAATTATTATTATACATATTTAATTTTACATCTCATATTTTAACCCACCTCGTTTGGCTGCATATCTAAATGCCTTGGATGATAAACCTCGTCGAGGTAACCCAAGTACTGACTATCCTCCACTCTGAGGAAATCCTCGTAGATGTCCGGAAACATGCCTGGCGGAATAGCTGGAGGCTCCTTGGGGGCCTTTGGTATCACGATTTTAACAGTTTTATCGGGATCCGTTTGCTTGGCTGCCTTAGCAGCCGCCTCCGTTTTCTCGGCAATTAACTGCATCATATCCTCGTACTCCTGCCGCCTAGAATTCATCAGGTTTATAGTCTCTTCCAGGATATCCTGCTGGGTGAGCCACTCATTAACCACCGATTCTTCGATATTCAATATCCCGGCGGTGGGATAATTGACCGATGTGGTAACCGCTGGCTCAAAGCTTTTGGCGTTCTGCGAAATGCAATCGAAATCAGTGTGTACGCTGCGAATTGTGATGCAATCTTCTAGAACACTTCTTGGTATCTGGACTTCTACGCCAGAAGCTTTCAGTTCGGCCAGCATAACTGGCAATCTGAGGATTATTGAATGGTTATAATTACTATTATAGAGCATCTTTGTCGGAAACACTTACTCCAGTTGATCGAAGATAATGGGAATGTTCAGTAAGCCCCACATATCCAATCTCCAAGGCTCGCATTTGTAACTCCACATAGCAAACTTGCCATCCTCCGACCTACGAAATAATCAAAGTTAGTAAAGATAAAAATGAATTATAAGTTACTCACTCCATATAACTATTTTGCATATGCAATATTCGATAGGTAAGGCGATCAAAGAGATCATTGATTTCCTTCTCGACTTCGGAATAAACCTTTAAAAAGCAGTTTTAAGTAAGAATTTTAGTTCTAAACAATGTAAACCCACTTCCATAATATCCCTCTTCCGTTTTTCAGACATTCGCACCAGTTCTGCCTCGTTGTCCAGCATAACATCCATTTGCTTCAACGCATCCAGGCACATTTGGACATTTGTATCGTAGTGAGCCCCGGGGTTATCTATTCTTAGCTTCAACGTACTGCGAGTTTTATCCACCCGAAATATATTCTGGTTTAGAATAGAGCGTTCGTCCACCGCCAAAGTCCAGTCTATCGAGTGCTTAGTTTCGATGTCGTCGTAGAAACGCATTTTGGATATAAAGGTTCGAATTTCGACGGGAAGATAGGGACGTGGCAGTCCATCGCAGCGCAGATGGTGTTCCCAGTGCTCCCTAAACATTCGCTGAACTTCCTGCTCGTAAAAGTCCCTTTTGGCATCTGCAACCATTCTCTTTTTTATTAAATATATATTTTTTATTTATCTCTTATTGCTCACGCTTTACTAATTCTGCACTAGCGGTGAAATCATTGAGGCGGGCAAGGTACTTGACCTCCCGGTCTATGATTTCACTTTCCGGAATGAACGGCCATCTGAGAATGGGTTCTGCAATGGGCTTGACCTTGACTTTACTTTTCCTTACCATTATAAATGTTTATCTATTTTATATTACAGGCTTAAAGTGTTGTTTTGAAGATTGACGATCGTGTGACTCAGAAGTATTATTTAAGAGTAAATTGTATTAAAGACAAAGACAATGGTGACTACGATTTTTCTAAGAATTTGTATGTAGTTTTGCTCAAGGCATATAATACTCTTATATTCTTAATAATGTTCTAGATTAATTTATAATTTTTCTGTATTTAAGTATATAAGATAAATTCCAAAACAATCTCATTTAACTTTGTCCGCAATGCTGAAAATACTCTGTTAAACAATCTTCAAGATTTTCACTCTGGCTGACATCCAGAAAAATGGAAAAGCCATAATCTAATGCCAAACTCTGGCCACAACTCGGCCAACTAGGTGGGTGCGGTGGTTCCGCCCCCGAAAACGCAACTCCCCACACGAATCCGGGAGATTTATCTTGGCCTTTGCCAGCCATTCGTGCCAAGAAAATGGCATACTCGTATCAACCTGAGAGGAGAAAGTGTAGATGCAAAGCTGCGGATAAGCCCCAAGTCGAATCGACTTCAGTCTGAGTCGGAGTCGAGCTGAAAAGGCAAAAGAGCAGAGACAATAGCTCGTTTCCAATAAATTGATTAAATTTTATGTTGCATTGTGAGTGCATGGAGAGTCGGTTCGTGTATCCCAGGCTCCATTTACATACGAAGAGCATGTTACGTGGCATGTCAAAGCCCAAAGCCCGTCGTCCATGTCTGATCGATTACATTGATGAATGAATTTCAACAAGCCATTGGCATTACTGGACGTCAAACGAGAGAAGGACAACGACGTGGTCTCCTCCACACAGGCAGCATTCCATCGATGGAGCCTGGCTATCCGGCTATCTGGCTTTATTTATTTGTTGCAAGTTGTCTCTTAAATAAATCCGTTGTCGAATCCGTTGTTGATCTCCTAGCATGGCATCCATCAGTTCCAGATCCAATTTAATGAACTTGGCCGGGCCAAATTGTTTTACATTTCACCCCATTAGGAGCCAATAGTTTTGACACCTTTACCTTTAAGTAGGAGCCCAATCAATACCAATTGATCCCCTTTTTTCGCCGGGGAAAATGACGAGCAAATCGCTTGGCTGCCATGCAATCATTCAATTATAATTTGCAACCAGCGAACAAGCAGCGAGCGGTCCATCGAGTTGTTGGCCATCTACAGGCATCGCGTCCGCAAATAATAACGATTTCGTTGCCAACAATTGGATGACTTGCCACGTAGCTGGATGGATTGTTGCAACTTCCAACTGCAGTTGCAGCCTGCACAACTTGTGAGCTGAGCTAACGAGTTCGGCCAGCAATTTCGTCTCCAATCGAATCCAATCCGCGGCGATCCAAAATTGCTGGCGCGCAACTAAATCGAAACCGAAATAGAAGAGCTAGTCAGCTTTCCGCTCCGGGCAAAAATAATTGACATCTGTATAAGTCCGCTCGTTGAGCTGCAGTTGCAGCTCCGCAGTGGATAACAAGTGGCCAAGTTGTGTTGTCCGCGAGTTTGTCGTTGTCTGCCCGTCTGTCTATTTTTCACCTGCACTCCGATTGCATTTCAGCTCTGATAAATTACGCCAAAACTGAAGCAGACTCACACAGAGGGAAATTTGTTCACATAACCCTGTCTTATTGTTGCTACTGAATAGCAGTATTTTGAAGATTAATTATAAATAAATTCCAATTATTTCTAGCACAATTGAAAAAAGGCTCAATAAGATATATATTAACAATCATATGCTCAGCTATTGTAACATTTTATTTATATTCAATATAAACGTAAAAAATACACAAAACTTACTTTTTTTAAATTTTTTTACTTTTGCACCGTTTTCATTTCCTTTTAATGCACTAAACTTTTCAGGCGACTGTTAAATAACAGAAGCCAATTCTTAAACCTGTTAATCTATATTTCCCACCAATTACAATACAAAAACTATAACCACTTCTGCTCCCATTTTTCTCCGTATCCGATTCTCAGCTGTTAGTTCGGTAATAGAAGTTTAAGTAGTTAAACTACATTAAGAATTACAACAATAACATGTATCGAGGGCAAACAGGTAACATTCCTTAGAAGCACGAGCTGCATTCTGTTATTTAACTGTACCGATATTATCTTCAACTAATTAAACATTTTATTTTCATTTCTCTGCAATTCCTTAACAATTTCAATTTCCTTAACTGGGTAATGAATCACTAAAAGATAACACCTGTAGTGCAAAACCCTTTAAAAAGGGATCCCTTCTCTCGGCAAGCTAACAAAATGTACCTACCGTTCTTTCTGATCACTCTCTTTTTAAGTGGATCCTTGGGGATCTCAATCCTTCGGCGACCGGAATATCAGACGGATGACTATTACACCTACGAGGAAATCCAGGAGTACTTAAAAGGCTTGGAAAAAAGCTTTAGTAAGCGAGTGAGGTTGACAGACATTGGAAGGTCCTACGAGAATCGAAAGCTGACCACAATTACCATCACAAATGGAGATGGTCGCAAGGACAAGAATGCAATCTTCATAGATGCAGGAATTCATGCCAGGGAGTGGCTCACCCACACAACCGCCTTAAATGTTATTAACGAACTGGTGGTGAATTTCGAAAAGAACAAGGAACTCCTCAAAGAATACGACTGGATTATCCTTCCCCTGCTGAACCCGGACGGATACACATATACCCGATCTGGAAAGAAGTTTACAAATGAAACTATCGATTGCAATGAGGACCAAGGTGTTAAGTGCTGGAGGAAGAATAGACAACCCAATGACGGAAATTGCATTGGCACCGATCTCAATCGAAATTTCGCAAAAGGTTGGAGCAAAGGAGATGCCTCAACTGATCCTTGCTATTTACTTTTTATGGGTACTTCCCCATTCTCGGCTCCGGAATCCAAGGCAGTTGGAAAAGAAATTTTAAATTTGGCAAACTCCAAAAGAGGCATAATGTACATAACTTTTCATTCTGCAGCAGGCAAAATCCTTTATCCATGGAATTTCAATTTGTAAGCACTTAGATAACATTTTGTTACCCAATCTTAACTTATTATTATTTCAGAATCGATTCTGAAAACGTCGAGGAACTTAAAGAAGTAGGCCGAGCTGCAGTGGATGCCATAGCCAACATTAATTTTATGGTTTCAACAAATTACTCACTGATTCGTGGGCATGATTTGTTTCCAAATCAAATTGTGCTGTCCGGTGGAACGTCAATCGACTATGCCTATGAAGTTGGCTTTCCGCTATCTTATACCTGGGAACTTCCGGCTAAAAGACGCGATTTAAAATTTGAGTTCCATCCACCAACGGATCTCATAAAGGAACTTGTGGAAGAAACTTGGATTGGTCTGCGCGCGATGGCCAAGAAAGTAATCCAACTGTATCCAGTTAAACGTAGCTAACAAATTGGTTTCTTTTAAGCCCACAATTTTTCAGTTCTTAAACTTGGAATAAATAAATAAAAATGTTGTGACACTTAAAAAACTTTATCTTTTTTCTATTTTTCACATTTTAAAACCAATTTATTCTAATCAGTGCAAGAAACATTTTCTGAGTGCAGACCTTCCCCTCGGCAACAAGTTGCAGGCAGCAGTTGGAGTATCTAATTGGCAAACTAATGGCCATCTCCCAGAAGAGATACTTTTTCGATTTGCGGGGCGTATGAGTAATGTCAGGTCACCATTTTATTTATCTTCAATATAATTGTAAAAAATACACAAAATGTACTTTTTTTTAATTATTTTACTTTTGGCATCGTTTTAATTTGTTTTTAATGAACTAAACTTTTCAGGCGACTGTTGAAAAACAGAAGCCAATTCTTAAACCTGTTAATCTATATTTCCCGCCATTTTAAATTGTATTGACTAATGGTTTTTAAAGCCTAATAAATACAAAACCGATGATCAATCACATTTGCTCACATTTTTCTCTGTACCGGAGTCTTTGGGGGCATTTTGTACAGGAAAGTGTCAGCTGTTAGTTCGGTAATAGAAGGTAAAGTAGTTAAACTACATTAAGAATTACAACAATAACATGTATCGAGGGCAAACAGGTAACATTCCTTAGAAGCACGAGCTACATTCTGTTATTTAACTGTACCGATATTATCTTCATCTAATTAAACATGTTATTTTCATTTCTCTGCAATTCCTTAACAATTTCAATTTCCTTAACTGACTATAAATCATTAATAGATAACACCTGTAGTGCAAAACCCTTTAAAAAGGGATCCCTTCTCTCGGCAAGCTAACAAAATGTACCTACCGTTCTTTCTGATCACTCTCTTTTTAAGTGGATCCTTGGGGATCTCAATCCTTCGGCGACCGGAATATCAGACGGATGACTATTACACCTACGAGGAAATCCAGGAGTACTTAAAAGGCTTGGAAAAAAGCTTTAGTAAGCGAGTGAGGTTGACAGACATTGGAAGGTCCTACGAGAATCGAAAGCTGACCACAATTACCATCACAAATGGAGATGGTCGCAAGGACAAGAATGCAATCTTCATAGATGCAGGAATTCATGCCAGGGAGTGGCTCACCCACACAACCGCCTTAAATGTTATTAACGAACTGGTGGTGAATTTCGAAAAGAACAAGGAACTCCTCAAAGAATACGACTGGATTATCCTTCCCCTGCTGAACCCGGACGGATACACATATACCCGATCTGGAAAGAAGTTTACAAATGAAACTATCGATTGCAATGAGGACCAAGGTGTTAAGTGCTGGAGGAAGAATAGACAACCCAATGACGGAAATTGCATTGGCACCGATCTCAATCGAAATTTCGCAAAAGGTTGGAGCAAAGGAGATGCCTCAAATGATCCTTGCTATTTACTTTTTATGGGTACTTCCCCATTCTCGGCTCCGGAATCCAAGGCAGTTGGAAAAGAAATTTTAAGCCTAGCAAATTCCAGACGAGGCATAATGTACCTATCTTATCATTCCGCAATAGGCAAAATCCTGTATCCATGCGATTTCGCTGTGTAAGCACTTAGAAAACATTTTTTTACCGAATCTTGACTTATTATTATTTCAGAATCGATGCTGAAAACGTCGAGGAACATATAGAAGTGGCCCAAGCTGCAGTGGATGCCATAGCAAACATTAATTTTACGGTATCATCAAATTACTCAGTGGTTCCTGGATATAAATTATTTTCGGATCGAATTGAGCTGTCCGGTGGAACTTCAAGTGACTTCGCCTATGAAGTTGGCTTTCCGCTATCTTATACCTGGGAACTTCCGGATAAAAGAGGCGATTTGAAATTTGTGTTCCATCCACCAACGCATATCATAAAGGAACTTGTGGAAGAAACTTGGATTGGCCTGCGCGCGATGGCCAAGAAAGTAATCCAATTGTATCCAGTTAAACGTAGTTAACAAATTGGTTTCTTTTAAGCTCACAATTTTTTCAGCTCTTAAACTAAATAAATAAATAAAAATGTTGTGGCATTTAAAGAACTACATATGTACTTTCAGAACGATCTTTATCTTTTTTCTATTTTCCACATTTTAAAAAGAATTTATTCTCATCAGTTGCAAGAAACACTTTCTAAGTGCAGACCTTCCCCGCGGCAACAAGTTGCTGGCAGCAGTCGGCATTCTGCAGTTGGAGTATCTAATTGGCAAACTTATGGCCATCTCCCAGAAGAGATACTTTTTCGATTTGCGGGGCGTATGAGTAATGTCAAGTCATCATTTTATTTATTCGGCAAGCCGAAGCTTATATACCCTTGCAATCATTAAATATGTCGAGAAATTAATTTTCCATATTGTTCATATGAGAGCTATATGATATAGTCGGATTTGACACACAAGACTCATCAGAAAACGCTATATACCAAACATCATGATTGTCTGATGAAAAACAACGATGTTATCATTTTTAATGAAATTTTTTTCTCGATTTAAGTGTATTTCAAAAATTTGATGTTCCAAAAATCATGCTCGGGTAATTAAAAACAACGACATCATAATTTTTTTCCATTATTTATACATATTTTTTTCGATCTTTCCATGGCAGCTATATGATAGAGTTGTCCGAATTTAATAAAGTTTAATCCGAACTTCAATAATAGTTCGAAAACGCCATCTAGAAGAAATCAAGTCGATTTGATCAAAAAGAACAGCGAAAGAATTTTTTTATTCTATACTCTCGTATTGGAGCTATCCGATATTGTCGGCCGATCCTGCCCATTCCGACTTTTATACAGCGTGCAATAACTACACAACTTTTGGGAAAGTTTCACCGTGATAGCTTTAAAACTGAGAGACTAGTTTGCGTAGAAACAGACAGGAGGACAGACGGACAGACGGACAGACGTACAGACGTATTTCGATTCAGATCGTGATGCTGATCAAGAATATATATACTTTATGGGGTCTGAGGTATCTCCTTCACTGCGTTGCAAACTTCTGAATGAAATTATAATACCCTCTGCTCTGCAAGGGTATAAATATGTACATATACACAAAATGTACTTTTTTTTAAATTATTTTATGGACTAAACTTTTCAGGCAACTATTAAAAAACAGAAGCCAATTCTTAAACCTCTTAATTTATATTTCCCGCCAATTTAAATGGTATTGACTAATGGCTTTCAAAGCTTAATAAAAACAAGAACGATGATCACATTTGCTCACATTTTTCTCTGTTATAGCACGAGCTGCATTCTGTCATTTTACAGTACCGATATTATCTTCAACTAATTAAACATGTTATTTTCATTTCTCTGCAATTCCTTAACAATTTCAATTTCCTTAACTGACTATAAATCATTAATAGATAACACCTGTAGTGCAAAACCCTTTAAAAAGGGATCCCTTCTCTCGGCAAGCTAACAAAATGTACCTACCGTTCTTTCTGATCACTCTCTTTTTAAGTGGATCCTTGGGGATCTCAATCCTTCGGCGACCGGAATATCAGACGGATGACTATTACACCTACGAGGAAATCCAGGAGTACTTAAAAGGCTTGGAAAAAAGCTTTAGTAAGCGAGTGAGGTTGACAGACATTGGAAGGTCCTACGAGAATCGAAAGCTGACCACAATTACCATCACAAATGGAGATGGTCGCAAGGACAAGAATGCAATCTTCATAGATGCAGGAATTCATGCCAGGGAGTGGCTCACCCACACAACCGCCTTAAATGTTATTAACGAACTGGTGGTGAATTTCGAAGAGAACAAGGAACTCCTCAAGGAATACGACTGGATTGTCCTTCCTCTGCTGAATCCGGATGGCTATACATATACCAGATCCGGAGAGAAGTTTACAAATGAAACTATCGATTGCATATCGGACCAAGGTGTTAAGTGCTGGAGGAAGAATAGAAAACCCAATGACGAAGTTTGCATTGGCACCGATCTCAATCGAAATTTCGCAAAAGGTTGGAGCATAGGAGAAGTCTCAAATAATCCTTGCCATTTAACTTTTATGGGTACTTCACCATTCTCGTCTCCGGAATCCAAGGCAGTTGGAAAAGAAATTTTAAATTTGGCAAGCTCAAAAAGAGGCATAATGTACATAACTTTTCATTCTGCAGCAGGCAAAATCCTTTATCCATGGGGTTTCGATAGGTTAGCCGTTAGTATAACATTTTTTAAACGGCTCTAAACTTATTTTTATTTCAGTAACGTTCCAGAAAACGTCGGAGAACATATAGAAGTAGGCCGAGCTGCAGTGGATGCCATAGCCAAAAGTAATTTTAAGTTACCATCAAATTACTCAGTGGTTCCTTCACACGAATTGTTTTCGGGTCGAATTGTGCTGTCCGGTGGAAAGTCAATCGACTATGCCTATGAAGTTGGCTTTCCGCTATCTTATACCTGGGAACTTCCGGATTCAAGAGGCGATTTGGAATTTGTGTTCCATCCACCAACGGATCTCATAAAGGAACTTGTGGAAGAAACTTGGATTGGTCTGCGCGCGATGGCAAAGAAAGTAATCCAACTGTATCCAGTTCAACGTAGCTAACAAATGCATTTCTTTTTAGCTCACAATTTTTTAGCTCTTTAACTTGGAATAAATAAATAAAAATACTGTGACATTTAAAGAACTACTTTAAGAACGTTCTTTACATTATTATTTATATTCCACATTTTAAAACCAATTTATTCTAATCAGTGCAAGAATCATTTTCTAAGTGCAGACCTTCCCCGCGGCAATAAGTTGCAGGCAGCAGTTTGAGTATCTAATTGGCAAACTAATGGCCATCTCCCAGAGGAGATACTTTTTCGATTTGCGGGGCGTATGAGTAATCTCAGGTCATCATTTGATTTATCTTAAAATATACAAAATTTACTTTTTTTTTAATTATTTTACTTTTGGCATCGTTTTCATTTATTTTTAATGGACTCAACTTTTCAGGCGACTGTTAAAAAACAGAAGCCAATTCTGAATCCTGTTATTCTATATTTCCCGCCATTTTAAATGGTATTGACTAATGGTTTGCAAAGCCTAATAAATACAAAAACGATGATCACATTTGCTCACATTTTTCTCTGTACCGGAGTCTTTGGGGGCATTCTGTACGGGAAAGTGTCAGCTGTTAGTTCGGTAATGGAAGGTTAAGTAGTTAAACTACACGACGGTATAATTCCATAAAGAATTACATCAATAATATGTATCGACAGCAAACAGGTAACATTCCTTAGAAGCACGAGCTGCATTCTGTCAATTTACTGTACCGATATTATCTTTAACTAATTAAACATGGCATTTTCATTAATATACAATTCCTTAACAATTTCAATTTCCTTAACTGGGTAATACATCACTAAAAGATAACACCTGTAGTGAAAAACCCTTTAAAAAGGGCTACCTTCAATTGGGAAGCTAACAAAATGTACCTACCATTCTTTCTGATCACTCTCTTTTTAAGTGGATCCTTGGGGATCTCAATCCTTCGGCGACCGGAATATCAGACGGATGACTATTACACCTACGAGGAAATCCAGGAGTACTTAAAGGGTTTGGAAAAAAGCTATAGTAAGCGTGTGAGGTTGACAGACATTGGAAGGTCCTACGAGAATCGAAAGCTGACCACAATTACCATCACAAATGGAGATGGTCGCAAGGACAAGAATGCAATCTTCATAGATGCAGGAATTCATGCCAGGGAGTGGCTCACCCACACAACCGCCTTAAATGTTATTAACGAACTGGTGGTGAATTTCGAAGAGAACAAGGAACTCCTCAAGGAATACGACTGGATTGTCCTTCCTCTGGTAAATCCGGACGGATACACATTTACCCGATCCGGAGAGAAGTTTACAAATGAAACTATCGTTTGCAATGAGGACCAAGGTGTTAAGTGCTGGAGGAAGAATAGACAACCCAATGACGGAAATTGCATTGGCACCGATCTCAATCGAAATTTCGCAAAGGGATGGAGCAAAGGAGATGCCTCAAATGATCCTTGCTATTTACTTTTTATGGGTACTTCCCCATTCTCGGCTCCGGAATCCAAGGCAGTTGGAAAGGAAATTTTGAAAATGGCAAATTACAAAAGAGGCATAATGTACCTATCTTTTCATTCCGCAGCAGGCAAAATCCTTTATCCATGGGGTTTCGATAGGTTAGCCGTTAGTATAACACTTTTTAATCAGATCTAAACTTATTTTTATTTCAGTAACGTTTCAGAAAATGTCGAAGAACATAGAGAAGTAGGCCGAGCTGCAGTGGATGCCATAGCGAAAAGTAATTTTAAGTTACCATCAAATTACTCAGTGGTTCCTGCACACGAATTGTATTCGGATGAAATTGTGCTGTCCGGTGGATCGTCAAGTGACTTTGCCTATGAAGTTGGCTTTCCGCTATCTTATACCTGGGAACTTCCGGGTAAGAGTCTCGATTTGGAATTTATGTTCCATCCACCAACGCATCTCATAAAGGAACTTGTGGAAGAAACTTGGATTGGCCTACGCGCGATGGCAAAGAAAGTAATCCAATTGTATCCAGTTAAACATAGCTAACAAATTCATTTCTTTTAAGCTCACAATTTTTCAGATCTTTAAATTGGAATAAATAAATAAAAATACTGTGACATTTAAAGAACTACTTTAAGAACGTTCTTTTATTTTTTTTTTCACATTTTAAAACCAATTTATTCTAATCAGTGCAAGATACATTTTCTATGTGCAGACCTTCCCCGCGGCAACAAGTTTCAGGCAGCAGTCGGCATTCGGCAGTTGGAGTATCTAATTTGCAAACTTATGGCCATCTCCCAGAAATGTAAAAAATACACAACATGTACTTTTTTTTAATTATTTTACTTTTGGCATCGTTTTCATTTGTTTTTAATTGGCTAAACTTTTCAGGCGACTGTTAAAAAACAGAAGCCAATTCTTAAACCTGTTAATTTATATTTCCCACCAATTTAAATGGTATTGACTAATGGTTTTGAAAGCCTAATAAATACAAAAACGATGACCACTTCTGCTCACATTTTTCTCTGTACCGGAATCTTTGGGGGCATTCTCTGCGGGAAAGTGACAGCTGGGGATTTGCCCCAATGCTCCATTGGTGGACCTGCCCCTTATCGGGCGAGGCGGCGCTTTCTAATCGCCGCCAAGTGGTGGCCGAGCAACATGTTGGCATGTAAATGTTGACAGCAACATGTTTACCGTTTGCCTCTGTTTAACTTAGTGAGCCACCGCCCGCCCCTTCACCCCCCCCTTTTCCCTCTCTTTTCCCCACGAATCGCGTTTTAACAATGTGGAAACTTTTGGCATTTACATGAGAATTGTAAGCGCAAACATTTGGGGTTTTTTGTCCGTATCTTTTCCACTTCCCCATACACAATATGAGCATAGAATTTGTCCGGCAAAAACAAGATGCATTTGTGGCCGTTGCAGCTGCCGCTGCTTTGGCCATTGTTGTCCGTCTTGATGGTTAAGCAACAAATTGAGTCTAATTAATTTTCAGCAAACTGCAAAGACTGAATACATTGTCTCCCCTTCATACCCTTGCCAACGCAGAGCTAATTAGCATGGTCAATAGACGGGGAAAACTTTCGAATAGAAATTTATTTAATTTTACCTAATGCTTCCAGGGAAACACAACATTTTAATAATATACAAAAGTAATAAGTAAAATACAAATTAATTAAATACATCATAAATACTTAAACCTTTGGGACTTAAAACAACAAAATAGTTATTTAAAAATAAATAGTGTTGGAGTACCTACATTTTCTTTATTAGAAACCCCAAAAATTTAAAAGAGTATTACCAATTCTCTGTGTACATAAATCACGACTCCGATTAAAACCCTTGGTCGCTCTTAACGGTAGATGTTTGAACAATGCACTGCCATCTGAAGAAAAACAACAACAGCGGAGCAGCGGAAAATAAATAGTTGAGTTCTCGAAAATCTATGCAAAGCGACATCAAAAGACCAAACGGCCATTCGGTTAATGCCTTAGATATGCAAATCACCGAATTCTTAGCTTCGCTGGCTCCCAGTTGATTGGCTGCTTCCATAAGCTCTGCCTAATTGTTGCATTTGTTACTTTCAAAGGGGAGAAGGGCGGTGGAGATGAATTTCCATTTCCATAAAATGCAAGCTTTGTTGGGCGGAGGCAGCTACCGTCAAAGGAAAGTGAGCGTGGAAAGTGGAAACATATCCATTTATGATGCTTTTTAGGTCTCTGTGTCAGCGAAGGGCTCTGCTTGTGGGAACCTAAAACCCAAACTCGTATTCGCTTCGAATCTGAATCTGAATCCGAGTGAAACAGTTGCGGCCGCCAAATTGACTTCTCGTGTCGACTGTTGCATGCCACACCCAGGGACTAAAAAGCCGAGATATCGCCTGACAGCCGGCAATCCGCAGGCCGCAGTTCGCAGTTCGAAATCCACTCCTTGCAGTCCGCAGTCCGAATAGCCGAATGGCCAATGGTATCTGGTGTATATAAGGCATATACTGCTGATGGCCAACGCCGGTGGCGAAAAGTCAGCACTCGACTTGGCTTATCACTCGACAGGCGACGCTGACAGGCGACAATTTGCATGGCGACCACGGGGATCGCAGAACTCATTACGAATGCGACAATCGCCAGTTGCCGGTTGCCCCTTGCCGGTTGCCAGTTGCAAGTTTTGCGTTACCAATGGTACAACACTCAAAAAAAAATCGTACAGAACTTACATAACTTATAGAACCAATTTGCACACCAAAAGGAATTCGCAAAGTAATCAATTCTGTAATGAAATAAATTCTTAAAAATCCTGTATCCTGTGTCCAACGTAATTTCGTTACAAAGGTTTTTTTCTCGATTACAGAAAACAATTCAAACATTACCCAATAATCATTAAATATGTATTATCTAAAAAGCAGTAAATCGAATTGGGTACTAAAGGGTTAAACTAATTAAACAATAATTACAGTTCCATAAACAGATACAACAATAGCATGTATCCACAGTAAACAGGTAACATTCCTTAGAAGCACGAGCTGCATTCTGTTATTTTACTGTACCGATATTATCTTTAACTAATTTAACATGGCATTTTCATTAATATACAACAATTTCCTTAACAATTTCAATTTCCTTAACTGGTTAATACATCACTAAAAGATAACACCTGTAGTGAAAAACCCTTTAAAAAGGGCTCCCATTTCTAGTGAAGCTAACAAAATGTACCTACCATTCTTTCTGATCACTCTCTTTTTAAGTGGATCCTTGGGGATCTCAATCCTTCGGCGACCGGAGTATCAGACGGATGACTATTACACCTACGAGGAAATCCAGGAGTTCTTAAAAGGCTTGGAAAAAAGCTATAGTAAGCGAGTGAGGTTGACAGACATTGGAAGGTCCTACGAGAATCGAAAGCTGACCACGATTACCATCACAAATGGAGATGGTCGCAAGGACAAGAATGTAATCTTCATAGATGCCGGATTTCATGCCAGGGAGTGGCTCACCCACACAACCGCCTTAAAAGCTATTAACGAACTGGTGGTGAATTTCGAAGAGAATAAGGATCTTCTCAAGAACTACGACTGGATTGTCCTTCCTCTGGTAAATCCGGACGGATACACATTTACCCGATCCGGAGAGAAGTTTACAAATGAAACTATCGTTTGCAATTCGGAACGAGATGTTAAGTGCTGGAGGAAGAATAGACAACCCAATGACGGAAATTGCATTGGCACCGATCCCAATCGAAATTTCGCAAAGGGTTGGGGCGAAGGAGTTACCTCAAATGATCCGTGCAATTTTACTTTTATGGGTACTTCCCCATTCTCGGCTCCGGAATCCAAAGCAGTTGGAAAAGAAATTTTAAGCCTAGCAAATTCCAGACGAGGCATAATGTACCTATCTTTTCATTCCGCGATTGGCAATATCATGTATCCATGGAGTTATGATAGGTAACCACATTGTAAAACCTTTTTTTTACCGAATCTTGACTTATTTTTATTTCAGTATCGATGCTGAAAACGCCGAGGAACATATAGAAGTGGCCCAATCTGCAGTGGATGCCATAGCCAAAGTTAATTCTATGGTTTCATCAAATTACTCAGTGATTCCTGGATATAAATTGTATCCAGCCGGCGGAACGTCAAGTGACTTTGCCTATGATGTTGGCTTTCCGCTATCTTATACCGTGGAACTTCCGGATTCAAGAGGCGATTTGGTATTTAAGTTCCATCCACCAACGGATCTCATAAAGGAACTTGTGGAAGAAACTTGGATTGGTCTGCGCGCGATGGCAAAGAAAGTAATCCAATTGTATCCAGTTAAACGTAGCTAACAAATTGGTTGCTTTCAAGCCCACAATTTTTCAGTTCTTAAACTTGGAATAAATAAATAAAAATGTTGTGACACTTAAAAAAATACTTTAAGAACGTTCTTTATTTATTTTTCACATTTTAAAACCAATTTATTCCAATCCGTTGCAAGAAAGATTTTCTAAGTGCAGACCTTCCCCGCGGCAACAAGTTGCAGGCGACAGTCGGCATTCTGCAGTAGGAGTATCTAATTGGCAAACTTATGGCCATCTCCCAGAAGAGATACTTTTTCGATTCGCGGGGCGTATGAGTAATGTCAGGTCATCATTATAGCGGCCAGGCTTTGCCGCAGCTGCATTCCTTGCCCCACCACACCGCACCACACGAAAACCAAATGAAATGCAAATTTAAAGTGGCCCGTGCAGCTGGAAGTGCAGTTGGAAACGTGAACTGGATGGCGAACTGGAAACTGGACTTTGGGCGTGGAGTTTGGAGGGGATTGGGGTTCGCAATGACGTGGCCGGATTGGCTTTAAATAAATGTTATTATTTCGATAAGTTGGCGTGTTTTTGCGGCTGTGCCCACATTTAATTATGCCACAAACCGGACAGCAGAGGGAAAAAATTGAACAGCAAACAGCGAATGGCGAACGGCAACCAAAATCAATATCACTTCGTGCCGAGTTTTTAATGAACAATTGTCGGGGCACACAATTTTAGCACATTGTAAATAAGCAATTGAATTGGCGCTGGAGTGGCGTTGCAAGTTGCAAGTTGGAAGTGAGTGGTACGAGCAATGATATCTGCTCTCTGATCCCCACCAAAAAAAAAAGAAAAAAAGTGGAAAAAACTGCCTCCCGACAATCGTCGCCCCCATTTGGGCTGCATTTCGCAGCCTGTTCACTTTAATCAAATTCACATTAACAACAGCAACGGCAACAACTGCAACATGCAGCAGCAACAACTGCAACAATTTTAGCGCAGCTGCAGCAAAGGAGGCAAGTCACAACTGCACATTGTATAAGCCACGCTAATAACTTGGCTCTCAAATCGGGTATAATGGACCGAGTGCTATCGTTCGGCAGTCAAGAAATCTGATTTTGATGCTAAAATTAAAGCGTTTCTATACTTTCAGAGCACTTGATTGGCAGCTTATTGGAAAGGAATGCAGACAAACAACTTTACAACTAGGCGGATATGTAAATCAGTAGATAAGTTTTTATTGAGATATGAAATATTGTTAATGAATGAAAAGAAAATATTTGAAATGCTTCAGAAAAAGCTAGCTTACTAGTTTACTTATTTAAAGGAGTTTTCTACCCGTTTTAGTTTATTATTTAATACCCTCCCATATCCTATCCCATTTTATGGTTTTCGTAACTCCATTAGGAACACCATTTAAATTCGATTTATTGATTCCACGGTAACGAAGTGGACCGATCAGATCGATCCTAGTCCGCCCGTTCAGTTATGGATTTTTATAGTTTTTGTCTCGGTACACGCCCCAAAAGCAATGGCAACAATAGCCGGCTGTTTGGACAAGTTACCAAAAATAGACCAGAGACGCTAAAGCCGAGCCAAAGGCTAAGCCAACTGAAATTGGTTTGCGGCTAAGACGTTGAGCAAAAAGCGCTAAGAAAAAATGTTACGAGCAAGTTGGAAACTGCCGATAATTGCTGTGGTTTTATGGTCGAGAGTAATTCATATATAGAAAATAGCTAGAGTGCATTTTGCGTTGGACATTTACGGTGGTGATGGCAAAACCGGACCCCAACTGCGCAAGAAAGTCGCGATAATTGAAAATGTAGTGCCAGAGTGTGTTTTGCGATAATTTGCATGCCCAAGGTTGACGCCTCTAATTGCCGGCCCAAAACAATCCGCTGGGAGGTCCATCAAATTGCAGGTTTATGCTCTTCCGTTCGCCGGTTCGTTAAGCGGATCCGACAGTTATTACAATGCAACGCCCCTTAATGAACCCGTTTCGCCATCTCGTCTAGGACGAAATCGTCCGTTCACGTTGGCCAGATAGTGATAAGCCATTTCGGTCGGCGGTGCTGGTGGGCAATCCGCTGCCGCTGCCGCTGCATGTGGCAGTGCAATTTATGGGATCAACAGACCCGTTAGTGCCAAATTACAAATGGACCCATGGCAGCCAAGTGCAAAACAGACGTGGCAATAACCAACAAGACATTAACCCGAAGCAGCGAGTCGCGCGGCGCATGCCTCGATACCTCCGATACCCCGATACCCCGATACCTCCGATGCCCCGTTACCCCGATACCTCGATGCCCCGATTCCTAAATGCCTCAATGCTGCCCCAGCTGCACTGCGTTCTGGCCGCATATGCTCCATCGCCCAATAATTGCCAGCCTCAAAACTGCTCCCCTACTTACACTTAAAAATATGAGAGGTAAGTGGGCTTCTTAATTAGGAACAATTAATGCTAAACTTCTCAAGAACAAAATATTGTATTTTCTTTAAATCTGTAATAATTTTGCCCAAGATCTTTTAGATAATGTAACAATAAAACGTTTTGTTTAATTATTTTATTTTTAAGAAGAAAATAGAATTCAAAATTTATTCATAAATTTTTTAATGATTTTCTTTTAATATAGAGCAAAGTTATATAGACATAATTGCCTTCTACTTAAGTATTTTTGAGTTTCATTATCTCTTTTATAGTTTAATGAATTTTAAATATAATTTTTTCCTACAACCAATTCTAAAATTTGATAGCATAAATCAAATAATGTAGGAAATCACTTTAGCTGCGATTAAACTGTTTTATGTCCTCCTTTTTACCAAAAATCTTGTTAAATTATAAAAATTCAACGAAATTCCCGTCATATTTGGCGAGTGCACTTGCACACAATCTTTGGGGAGCGGGAAGCTGGAATCAGAGCCAGCGGCGATTTGGGGAGATACGAGTGCAGTTGCAGTTGCAAGTCGCAAGCCGCAGCCGCGGCGATCCAGCGGATTGCCAGAACGCCAGGCACAGAGCGTCGAAATGCCGGAGCGACGGTCGCTGGCCACAAAAGCATAAAACAATAAAGTTGGGCGCTGCGCAAAAGAATAATCGCATAAATCATGCGGACTCGCGGCGGCGTCTAAACTCCACTAACGGCAACGAGGCTAAAACTCTGGAGCTCCAGCTCCGGAAAGAGCCTGCTCGGCACAGTGGCCAACAACTGGTTGTTTCAGGATTATAAATACTCCTTCTGATAAGTACAACTAAGATAATGTGCTAATAAAAAACAAAACTATTATTGCAACGCGTTTTTATTACTCATGGGTTTGTTTTTACAATCTGCTACCATGTTTAAATAATGAGATTTTTTTAAGCAAGTCTTGCACATTTATCGTTGAAAGGCGGGCCTGGAAAAATAAATAAAAGTGTATCTTTAAAATACCGTTTGTTAGTCAAACCTGTATAGTAATAAAAAAACGTTAATTAAATAATGTCTTGCAATACTTATAGAACATTATTTATAATAATATATAATTAAAGTCGAACAAAATTAATCCATGTTCTATTTATACACTTTTTTCTTGATCTTCGAAGCTTTACCTACATTCAAAACACGTTTTTCCAACATAAAGACCTTAATTTATATAGTCAGCTCAGCGGTTTTGGAAAAGCTCGAACTAGATGCTCAGCAGAGCAATGGTAATCCGCGTTGACATCCCGCCCATTGTACTCGAATAGCCTGTCCCACTGTGCCACAATGCAGCGGCAACACTTTTCTTGCCTTAAGCCAAATTTATAGCGATCTAAGTAGGTATAAAGCGCTCATTTTGTGGCAACAACAGCAAACTGCAGCGACGACGACAGCGGCGACTTCGTTACGTTTTCGAGGAGTGGCCAACAGGAGTGCGGCCTTTGTTTTGGCTAAAACCCTTCCCCCTTCAGAACCCCCGCACCTTATTGTTTTTGCCTTTGTAATTTCTTTATCCCGTTGGCAGTTTGGCTCTCTTCTGCCAAGAACAATAGAAATGCATTGCACGAAAGCCGCCAGAAGAGAGAGGGCCAAGAAAGAGAGAGCTGATTCTGAAGTAAAGGCCCGAAAAAACCTGAAGCTAGTCGAGAACCGTTGACATGCACCGAAAATATAAAAAGAAACTAAGCAATTTTGCTGGTATACAATGGTATACAAAATTATACTTAAATTAACAATAAGTTTTGATTAATTAGAAATGTTTTTTATAAACGTTGCTGTTGTTTTAGATCAATAAATTGAATATGCTTTTAATTACAGGAACCAAGATTGAATCTTAATTTCTTTCAGTCCATTAGAAAGCGGGCGCGGTTGCATATGCAACCCAAAAGGCGGAGGGCTGAAAACGGGCTGAAAAGGAGGCTCTACCTCTGCTCACTCGTGCGCGATTTAAAAAGAACTTCTTGCCGGGACTTTCAGTTCGTTTGCCCGCTCGGCCTTTGTTGTGGTAAACAGTTGGCCGGCACTCAAAGGAGCGGGGAGCAGGGCATTGGATAACTGGGACAAAGTTTTGGCCAACCGAAAAAAGAATCCGCTTAAATCAAGAGTCGCCATGTGCGGTTGCTCAAGGGAAGCGTTTAGGCAAGGACCAGAAATTAGCGCAAAACTTTTGAGCATATTTGATTTTGAAACCCCTTTTAATTTATATATATGGGTTAATTAAACTTTTGTCTACTTATAACTTGGAGAATAATTTACACAAAAAAGTGAAAATGGTTAAAAAAAAAGAAACCTTAAATATCAGCAAATGGTAGTATTATTTAAAGTTTAAAGTATCTTGTAACAGTGATTGATTTCTGTTTAGATTTTAAAGCCAACAAATATTAACGAATTGATGAACATTTTTTCAGTTTTTCCTGTAGGACAAACCAGACTTTCCTTTTATTTGATTAGCCAGCAGGCAAACAGCCTCCGCCCACGAGTTTCAGCCAGACAAATGGCATTCTAATGCCTCCCAATGGGGGTCAATCTGGACGCCTTGAAGGCGGGGAAAATCAAGAAAATCAGCCATTAATCACTCGATATGACAAAATGCAAACCAAAGAAATGGATCGCACAGGCTCCATCAAAGGGGGGTGTAAAGAGGGGTATAAATGAAAGGGTATCGGGGTGT